GTACTAAAACCAAGTGGAACAGTCACAAGCTTTGCAGTTACTAATATAAGAATTAAATGATTAATTTTATTTTTTTCGTTAATTTATTTGCTAATGGGGGGAATATGAAGAATGAAAGTTGCTCAGCTAGAAGACCGAATTACAATGACGAAATCCTGTTTAAGAGTAAATTTCAATTCTGTATGTTTGTGTGTAATTCATATTCGTATGGCGTAATTTTCGGGATAAATCCCTCCACCAAAAGATTTATCTCGGCCACAGAAAATGTTAAGTTGTTCCGCATAAGGGACCTCTTGTAAAGCAAAAACTTCATTGTGTTTAAGGTAGAGCGGAGTGGTGACTATGATGTGAATGATGGGTGGGGAATTAGTGGAAGTTATCATTTCTGTAGCGTTTAACTCCGTGTGAACTTGTTTTCATGTGCTGTAGCATGTAGCTCTGTATTAAAGTTTCGGCAGACATCTTTTTTTTCTCTCAACTTGTACATCTGTATTAGCTTTTATCCAATAAAATGTTAAACAGTGTGTTATACAAGATGTTTAATTCAACGTTCTAAAGCACTACGAAACAAAACCACACATGTTAATTGTTATTGAAGTAATAATTTTAACAAACAAGTGATCTGATTTTAGAAATCAAAATGATATCATAACAAGTTGAAACAAGATCAAACAATAAAACCGAACATCAATGATGTAATTTTAAAGCTAATGTGGAATTGATTTGGATTGATTAAACATTTTGTTTATTTTTTTTAAATCACAAACCATAAAACAGATAATTAGACTAATTAATAATCACAATAAAAACAAAAATATATTTTTTATGCTAGAAACTTAAAACTCTTAGAAATATACAAATCATCAGACCTATATTTTTTTAAAAATTGATTGGTAAACATTTTAAACATTCTTGTATCATTACACAAAGAATTTTTCCACAAAGCCAAGCAACACTTTGCAAGTCTCGCATCTTATTTTTGCTACTCTCTTGTATAATTTTTTGTTGGCGGTGGCTGCAAAAAAGAGCTTTTGGATAATTTTCCTATACATACATACATACATTCATACATACATATATACATATATTAGTTTTTTTTCAAGATTTGTTTTTAGAATAACTTTTAGGACATTCGGTAATAGTTCAATACAAATGTTTTGAACAATATCTATAAGAGCTTGTGTTCCATTTTGTGCTAGCACTAATACATCGCATAATTATATTTTTATTTGGACACATTGTGTGGATAAACAAACTGTAAAGAGTTTACCTGAAAAGCTTTCTCCTGTTCAGGAGTCAGCAGCATGTCAAGCTCGTGAGGCTCCGGGTTCACGTCCTCAATCCTATCACCTTCTCTCGTCACCGTGCCGACATTAGCTATTTGTTTATCCATCGTCATTATCGGCTTCTTTGTCGTATGATTGATTGTCTCATCTAAAGTTTCATTGTTCGACTGCACTGACGTCTGATTCGTCGTATGTAGTGACGTCCTATTCGTCATCAGCTATGACGTCCGTGTTGTCATTTGCACTGACGTCTGTGTCGTCATCTGCACTGACGTCTGATTTGTCGTCTTCACTGACGAAATAAGTGGCTGAAATATACGTCATCACCATTAGAACTTATATAATGTATCCACTGCTTATTTTAAACTGCGATGATAGTAAAAGCGTCAATGCCATTTATCAGATTGTCAACCACTCAACTGTGAAACTAAAGTTTAATTGAATTCTTAAGAAGCTTAAAGGGACAATATAGCTTAGTACAAATATTTCTTAAACTGCGAAAAATTATACAAAATTCGTAATCTATGTCACTTATAAAGCGATTAATTTTAAATGTAAAAAAATAACTCGAATTTTAGAATATTTTAAAGAGTTATTTTCTGAAATGAACGACAAACGTGACAATATACAACGAACTATACTTACTACGCCAGCAAACGACACCACAAGCAGGAACAAGGTGAAAAATCCGGTGCTATACATTTGTTCTGACTTTCAGGTTGAGCTTCCTGTTTGCTTTAGTTCTGACTGACAGACGTTTTCAAACTGTTTTCTTTGCAGTAATGCATCCACTGGGCTGGCTCCTATCTTATTTTTTTTATATTTCATTGAAGAAGAAAATGATCAAGGGCGTAGCCCAAGTATTAGCGAATATGTTTAGGACTATATATGATTATTAACTTCTATGCAATATGTGTTGGCCTATATTTAATTGTTAAACTTAGATGTCTGCTAGTTAGCTAAATATGGTTCAAATTGTTTGCAGCCTCGTTCACGCTCCAACATCTGGTCCACTTAATTCTACGTGGTATTTCGTCTTTTTTGGTGTATCGAATAGGGTAAACATTTAGCAAACATTTAGTAAACGTGAGGTAAACATGGCAATAAACATGCGGTAAAGTCATTTAAACTGATGCCATAGGGGCTGTGGTGGTTTGAAATTTGGGATTAGAGGTGTCTTGCTGTTGTGTGCTGGTGTTAGCTGCTCCGTTGCTAAGTTTGAAGCTAGCGGTGACAAGCTATGGAGCGCTTGCATTTACTGTTGTTGCTTGCGTTGTTGATTGTTCTATTGGTTCTTCTTGTAGGGGAGTGTCTGAGGGCGTTTGTTGGCAATGGTTTGTCCACTGTAGGATGGAGGAACAGATTTGACACGCTTGTCTTCTCCCGGCGATTGCGATGAGGATAGTGAGTGATTTGTTTTTATAGTTTATTTTGATGTAGTGTGGGATAGTTGTTGGATTATCGGTGTAGATAGAGAAGCTACGATGAGGATAGTGAGTGATTTGTTTTTATAGTTTATTTTGATGTAGTGTGGGATAGTTGTTGGATTATCGGTGTAGATAGAGAAGCTACGGTTATTACTGTGTGGGATTTTGTTTATGGATGGCCCTTTGTTACTATAAGGACGTAGTGCTTGTATGAGTAGAGCATTGTTAAGTGTAGGTGGTACCCATCCGAGGGTCCCATTGATTTTGTCGTTTTCGTGAAGTGAGAATTGCAAAGTATATGGACCGTGTGTTTTGCATGTGTTGTGCATTGTGGTGACGTCGGAGGCTTGTGGGGAGAAGTACCAAGTGTCAGCTCTGCCACAGTTGAGTAGAAGAATTTGATGATTGCTGATAAGCTGTCTTATTATATTGCAACGCAGGTTTGGTTTGCCTCTTGAAGTGATGAGTACTTGAATAGTGGGTGTTTCAGCTGGATAAAGGTCTGGGCATTCTTCCTGTGGTAGACCAAGGATTGCTGTTGTTGACTTGGTTGCAAAGGGTGGGGCCCATGATTTCCTTAAGCCACCCGGACCATATCCCAGGTGGATCCTCTCCAAGTCTCTCGACTTAAAGGGAACAGGAATAGACGCAACCCCATTGTTGAGTTTCGTGATAGTTGCATAGTCCATTTCTAGTGTATAGAGATGAGGACTCGGTGCATTTAAATTTTGCTCTACGTCTAGTCAAGACCAACTAGAAACGATCCCTAAAAGTATTGTCAAACGAAAGAAACACTTATGTATTTTATGACACAATGTTATTACACTATCTTTTTTTTTATATAAAATGCATTAAAAGTATACAAAGATTAAAATGAGTATAATACATTTTTAAAAATGTGCATCATATTATTAGGTTCAAATGTCACAAGCCAATAACTTAAGGAAGACAGCCGAAACAACATAAGTGAACCGATCACGTTTTCCCGAAACCTTTACACTTGTTGAAGCACTAAAATGACACCATCCATTTCGAGATTGGAAGTTTGTGCACGGGTAATGAGTTCTTATTTTATTATTGAAGTCTGTCTAAGGCAGAAAATATTTAATCTGGCCATCATTTAACATCAAGTGATCAGATAATACGAAATGCAGTTGATTTGTAAACAGACGGTGCAAAATTTTAATATATATAGACCAAAAGAAATGGTTGTCTTTTTATTGTTTTCAAGCCGTGAAATGTATTTTCTACCTCGGAATTTAATCAAATTGTGTGTCAAAACCATACTCCTTACGTTCACAAAAATTCCAATAATCTGATAATCCGATAAAATTTTTCATTTTTACCTTTTTTTGTGACCTTTGTACTTTCTCGTATATACAAAGTATAGAGAAAGTCTTGAAATCGTGCAAAAAAAAATCGAGATTTTTGCAAATCTCGACGTTTTACGGCTCACTGAGTCGGAAAAACATAGATTTGCAATTTTGTCCGTATGTCTATGTGTGTGTGTGTGTGTGCATCTGTAAACACGATAACTTTAGTACCGTTACAGCTAGGTTGATGAAATTTCTGATATATAAATATTTTATTAAAATTGTATGACCGTATCAACTTTTAAGCGATTTCCGATAACAGGAAGTGGAACTTTGTCTACCTTATTCCGCACTATTATGCAGATTTTGTTTGGAGTTCACTTGTTGTGCAATTCTTTTTCTACGAGATTCTATTCTATTTTTAAAAGTTTTAGTATTTATAATGGATAAAAAATCATGTCTATATCCCGAGTAACAAAGCCTGTTGTTTTATATAAGAATGTTCGAGAAAGTTTAGGGGAGATAACTCCCTGTTTTTTTTTTAAATATAAGTTTAGACTAAGGTTAGTGTTTAAATATCCCTGGTTCAGCCGGACTTGCACTGACCTGATAGTTAATTAATATAAGCCCAGGTACGTGGATATAGCTACCCCACCCCTTACAAATTCCTTCCCTCGTAAATAGTTTAACCCGTTGCGCTTCATACTGTAAGCTTTATGTAAGGGGCTATATATATATAGCTATTTAATTATTATTTTATCTTAAAACATGCGAACGTCGCTTTTAATCATTTTTTAAATTTTTTTTATACTGCTGATGATTAACAATTCCCATAAAAACTGAATTTTCAACATGGCAAAATTTATTTTAAGACTGTCTTATCTTCTCGTCACGTTTTTAATTTTGGTCCATAATTCAAAGATCACGATCTAAGGTTGAAGTTAAAATATAAATAGTTGGTTGTGATTAAAACTGGTGTTTAATCGAGTAAAGTCTTAGTGAAAATAATCAAACAACAAGATGAAAATCTCGCTGATTGTGTGCGTTTTGTTTTCTCTTGCTGCGGTTGTGCTTGGTTCGCCATTGGCTACTGGTTGTACTTACCTTGGGATGCACATTGAGGTAGGTTCAATACCTAGCACCACAGACACAATGTAGCTAAATAACAGTGGCGTGCAGAGAGGGAGGAGGCCTATGTGGCCCAGACTCCAGGCACCCACTCCAGGGGACCATCCAAAGAAGTTTTTCTTTTTTTTTTTTTTTTTTTTTTTTGTAGTTAAACAAAATAGTTGAGATTTTATTAATAAGCCAATTTCACCTATTGCAAATTGTAATGCTCAATCGTCTATCCCTCGTTTTGACATTATACTGTCCGAGTCCTAAGACTTCTAAAGAAATAGCGGGCATTAGTAAAGGGTAGTCATTTATATTCCCTTAATGCATTTTAATGGGTATGATATTTATTTAGTATAGTAAATCCCTAAACTAAATTACCCAGATTATTCCTATACACTATAAGGGCATCTTAAAAGTAATATGCCCATATTTTCAAGGACATATGTACAGTAATTATTTCCATATTTATTTTTATACACTGTAGGGGCATCTTTTAAAAAAATATTCGTATATTCATTACATTATATGTTAATATATATGTAAATCCAGTAATATGCCCACTTCACTTTAAAATATATTTTAAAGGCATCTGTCAAGTAAGTATGCCTACCTTCATTTTGTATACTGTTACGGCATCTTTAAAGTAATTATGAATATATATATATATATATATATATATATAATTCTCTTCTTGGATACCGTAGAAAACAACAAGCTCTAAGCGCGCCTAGCAAGCCCCTCTCTTCCTCTCTAGGCATATCCCTACCACCCCCACCCCCACATAGTCTCGTGAGCTGTGGTTCACGCTAAATGTTTACAATCGTATAGCCAGGTTTAGTGACGGCTATTAGGGGCAGATAATTTAGTTTGAAACGATTTTAAACTTAGGGAAGGTAACTAAGAGGAGGCTGCTTTCACGGGGGAGTGTAGGGTAGGTGTGGGTGGAAAGGAGGGTGGGGGGTTTATCGTCCTTAACGACCAACTGATAGTATTTTAAAGCAAATATTTTCAGTGGCAGCATTGGTACTGTCGAATTCACAAATTATGAATTACTGAAATGTAGAAAATAAAACAACTAAATAGCAACGTATGATACGCCGCGGGTCGGTTCGTATATGTATAATTGTATATTTATGTTTAGAACAGTCATCTAAAAACGGACGCTATGTTCACTCTTAGTTGGTTATCCCCCCCCCCTCACCACCACAATTGTGTAGAGTGACATTAATGTCACACCTAGGTTTTTGCTGGGTAGGATACTTCAACTAAAGTGGCTGGTCAGTGGTGAATGAAGTTGAACCAACTTTCATTAAGGTAAAATATTTTAGCATTAATTATAATAATATATTTAATTCTGATTTTAGACAACATATTTAGGTAAAAACGAATAGTGTTAAGCAACTATATTACATACAAAAGTAATTATTGATTTGTTTTGATATTTACAATTAAATTTGTAGAAATATACATAGTTATTTTAAGAGAGTGATTATTTCCCCTAGTTCACTTGTCCTAATTAATATTCTAGGAATCATTATGTCAAATTGTTTTTTTTTTACAAGGATTACAAAACAGATTGAGTTGCGTAATTCTTTTTTGTTGTATTGTGCGTTTTTGGTTTGTTTAGAGCAGGGGTCTCCAAACTACGGCCCGCGGGCCGGATGCGGCCCGCGAGGTCCTCTCATTCGGCCCGCGGAGATATTTTTGTCCACGGAAAAAAAACTTTTGTTGGTGATGGCTGCGGAACTTTGCCCAGAAAAATCAAAGACATGCCTGGAAGAAACTGGCCCTCGAACTGAAATTTGATAGTTAATGCGGCCCTCGGACTGAAAAGTTTGGAGACCCCTGGTTTAGAGTGATAAATTATTTTGTTTTGACGGCCTATATTGTGTGTTTTTTCTTATTTCTTCAGAGTACTACTTTCAATTTATTTTACATCATAGCAAAGCAATGACATACAACTAGTATATATATATATATATATATATATATATATATATATATATATATATATATATATATATATATATATATATATATATATATATATATATATATATATATATATATATACTAGCTCCACAACGATAAATCTTTTTTAAATGTACCAACCTGGAAACAGAACAAAACTTAACACAACACAACACAAAAACAACACAACACAACACAAACGAAAACACAAACACAACGCAATCACAAACGAAAAAACAAACGCCTTCGGTAGAAAAAATTCTGGCATATGGTTTAATAAATTAGCGCGCGATTACATTCGATCTGTAAGTTTGACTTGTCAAGGTAAAATTAACGCTCTAGTAATACTATGTTCCTGAATTAAATCAACATTTTAACTCCCTTTCATCTCTCTTCTTCACTACCAGGAGGGGCATACCTTCCAGGGTTCTTCCTGCGATAGTTGTCACTGTTCTGGTGGTCAAGTCCATTGTTATATGATCAGCTGTGGTTACCATCCATGTGCACCTGGTGAAGTTTCAAGTCCTTGCTGCGGCTGTTTTCCGTGAGTTGGGTTAAATTTTTAAAAATCTTACATGTGAGAGGTTTCGGACAGTTGTGATGTCACTCCTTTTAGACACAGTTGTAATGACACTCTTTATAGACACAGTTGTAATGACACTTTTTTGTGGACATAGTTGTAATGACACTCTTTATAGACACAGTTGTAATGACTTCTTTGTGGACACAGTTGTAATTATACTCTTTATAGACACAGTTGTAATGACACTCTTTATGGACACAATTGTAATGACACTCTTTATGTACACAGTTGTAATGACACACTTAATATGAACACAGTTATGTTGCACACTTTCTGTGGTCACAGTTGTAATGTTTTGTTTTCTATCCTCAGATTTTTAGGCAAGTAAGAACATCTTTACATACAATACTAAAACCAAGTGGAACAGCCACAAGCTTTGCAGTTGCTAATACAAGAATTAAATGATTAATTTTATTTGTTCGTTTAATTTATTTGCTAATGGGGGGGGGGGGGGCAACATGAAGAATGAAAGTTGCTCAGTTAGAAGACCGAACTATAATGAAGAAATCCTGTTTAAGAGTTCATATGGACTATAAAAACCAAAGTAAGTTTTCCGTCAAATGTAAAACACAAGCGTTTATGGTGTGGCACCAGAGGTGGATCTAAAAGAAAATTCCCTCCACACCCATTATGAAAAGTAGTATATATATAAGAAAAATTGTGTGCAGCATTTATCTTTCCAAATCGCACCAGTGACTAGTTTAAAAGATTTCGGCATACGTGGGAATAAATTTGGTCAGCTTTTAATTTTAAAACTTGTCAAAAGTTGGAAAATTCTCATTCAACCAAACGAAAGAAACACTTATTCATTTTATGACACAATTTTATTGCATAATCAAACATTTTAAAAAAATGCTCCAATACTCACTCACTTTTTCAAGAAGACAACTACTTGTTGTGGTAATCCTACTGCTACACCTCGTTTTTCTAAGCAACAAACTTCCTCCAGACACGAATTTGTTTCAAGTCACAAACATGTTCTGGTTAAATGTGTACAGAATTTGCTCCGGGGACAAAACTTGTGCTATAAACAAAACTGATCACAAATCATAGTGTCATCATGCAGATTCAGACAGGTTTAACAAATTTTGATTTAGTAAGAAATGCAAGTTGAGTATACAATCTAAAAATTTAAGTTCATTTTTTTTAATAAAGTAGCATACCACGCCGTGTAGGTGGATATTTACAAGGTATTTATAGTGGTGTTCAGAGTATAGTAAAGAAAAAGCGCAATAAGTAAATGAATAAATAAGATCAGAGGCGTAGCGAGGGGGGGGGGGGCGGAGCTGCGGACCGCACCGGGTGACACATAAATAGCAAAATATAGAGAGAAAAATGATTTTTTCCACTTAATTAAGTGATTAATTCGAGTGTTAGTGTTTTTAGAGGTGCAAATCGAAAGTTTGAGGAGGGGGGGGGGGGGGCAAATCGAAAGTTTGAAGGGGGGTGACACCATTAAGTGCCTCACCGGGTGACACCCGACCTTGCTACGCCACTGCATAAGATGCATTAAATTTAAAGCTCGTTAGTTAAGAAAATGGACAGAGGCTGGTTTGGAACATTTTTGCCAACCAATGTGGGTGAAAGTATAACATAAGGAGGAATAGTCGAAAACAAAGCTGGTTTGCATGGATTCTATCCCATTCTGTACAATAAACATAGTAAATACAAAAGAAAAATGAATACAAACATATAAAAACTATTGGGGTAGGTGGGGGGGGGGGGGGGGGTAATTTTCACATTTTTTTCTTTTTTTGTAATTTTTGTTTTTATATTTGTAAATTATGTACACACAGGAAACAAGGGCTGATTGATAAAATGTACAGTTTACATGGTGTGTGCTCTCACCCTTTGTATAACCAGTAGAATAGTCACACAAACACATAAATAAGCTAAGTTGTTTTACACAGATTTCATTTACATTTGTACAATAGTAAATTACAAAAATAGATAAATAAGTAAATGAATAAATATTCGAAACTGATGTGGGGGTGGGTGGTGAGGTCGTTGGAACAGTTAAAAAGGGTGTAGGGTTATCATGTATGAGGTTGGTGTGGGCAGGGGGGGGGTAGGTAGAGTTGTCTGACGAGGCATGAAGAGAGTGTCTGTGTGTGTTTAAGCCAAGCCAAGCATCAATTTCTGCTGGTGTTTTTTCTGTGTGTGCATTTTTCTTTTTGCGCATTTTTCTGTTGATGCATTTTTTCCATTGCGCATATTTTTTTGCACTTTTTTCCTTTGCGCATGTGTCTGAGAACCATTTTTTTAATAAATGGCAATAATCGACAGTTGGAAGGGGTAAGGATTGCTCCGGGAGCGGGTTATTTCCGACTGTAATTGACGGGAGAAAATGTACTGCTTCCTTAAACACATTTTAATAAAGACCCATACACTTACTTAATTAAAAAAAATAATTTTGTGGGCCATATTAATGACCACTATTGTTCTTATCGCTGACAACAGCATACTACTGATCACATGAAGACTGGTTATTATATAATTTCGTATGTAAACAAAATCTGCGTCAAACTGAAATGCTTTGTACACATGGTGCTTCAAGTTTACTGTCGTTTTTAGCTGTGTATTTCTTGTTTTGTCTTGAATTATCTTTGTATGCCGTAGTTTGAACAGAAAATGTCAAGTTAATCCGCATTAGGGACCTCTTTTAAAGCAAAACCTATTTTGTGTTTAGGGTAGAGTGGAGTGGTGACTACGATGTGTATGATGGGTGGGGAATTAGTGGAAGTTATCATTTGTGTAGCGTGTAACTCCGTGTGAACTTGTTTTCATGTGCTGTAGCATGTAGCTCTGTATTAAAGTTTCGGCAGACATCTTTTTTTCTCTCAACTTGTACATCTGTATTAGCTTTTATCCAATAAAATGTAAAACAATGTGTTATACAAGATGTTTAATTCAACGTTCTGATGCACCACGAAGCAAAACTATACATATTGATTTTATCATAGTAATAATTTTAACAGACAATTTCTGAATTTAGCAAATAAAATGAAATTATAACAAATTGAAACAAAATTAAACAATAAAATCCAACATCAATTATGTAATTTTAAAGTTCATGTGGAATGGATTTGGATTGATCAAAAAAATTTTTTTTTTTAAAAATCACAAATCATAAAACAGATAATTAGACTAAAAATAAAAATAAAAACAAAAATATATTTTTAATGTCAGAAACTTAAAACTCTCAGAAATATACAAATCATCAGACCTATATGTTTTTTTTAATTGATTGGTAGACATTTTAAACATTCTTGTATCATTACACAAAGAATTTTTCGACAAACCCAAGCAACAGTTTGCAAGTCTCGCATCTTATTTTTGCTCCTCTCTTGTATAATTTTTTGTTGGCGGAGGCTGCAAAAAAAGAGCTCTTGGATAATTTTCATATACATACAAATATACATGCATACATACATACAGACATATATTAGCTTTTTTCAAAATTTGTTTTTAAAATAACTTTTAGGACATTCGGTAATAGTTAAATACAAATGTTTTGAATTATATCTATAAGGGCTTATGTTCCATTTTGTGCTAGCACTCTAATACATCGTATAGTTATATTTTTATTTGGACACATTATGTGGATAAACAAACTGTAAAGAGTTTACCTGAAAAGCTTTCTCCTGTTCAGGAGTCAGCAGCATGTCAAGCTCGTGAATCTCCGGGTTCACGTTCTCAATCCTATCTCGTTCTCTCGTCAGATTGCCGATGTTAGCTATGTGTTCATCCATCGTCATTATCGGCTTCTTTGTCGTATGATTTATTGTCTCATCTAAAGTTTCATTGTTCGACTGCACTGACGTCTGATTCGTCGTCTGTAGTGACGTCCTATTCGTCATCTGCTATGACGTCTGTGTCGTCATTTGCACTGACGTCTGTGTTGTCATTTGCACTGACGTCTGTGTCGTCATCTGCACTGACGTCTGATTTGTCGTCTTCACTGACGAAATGAGTGGCTGATACATACGTCATCACCATTAGAACTTATATAATGTATCCACTGCTTATTTTAAACTGCGATGATAGTAAAAGCGTCAATGCCATTTATCAGATTGTCAACCACTCAACTGTGAAACTAAAGTTTAATTGAATTCTTAACAAGCTTAAAGGGATAATATAGCTTAGTACAAATATTTCTTAAACTGCGAAAAATTATACAAAATTCGTAATCTATGTCACTTATAAAGCGATTAATTTTAAATGTAAAAGAATAACTCGAATTTTAGAATATTTTAAAGAGTTATTTTCTGAAATGAACGACAAACGTGACAATATACAACGAACTATACTTACTACGCCAGCAAACGACACCATAAGCAGAAACAAGGTGAAAAATCCGGTGCTATACATTTGTTCTGACTTTCAGGTTGAGCTTCCTGTTTGCTTTAGTTCTGACTGACAGACGTTTTCAAACTGTTTTCTTTGCAGTAATGAATCCACTGGGCTGGCTCCTATCTTATATATTTTATATTTCATTGAAGAAGAAAATAATCAAGGGCATAGCCTAAGTATTAGCGAATATGTTTAGGACTATATATGATTCATATGATATATTAACTTCTATGCAATATGTGTTGGCCTATATTTGATTGTTAAACTTAGATTTTTGCTAGTTAGCTAAATATGGTTCAAATTGTTTGCAGCCTCGTTCACGCTCCAACATCTGGTCCACTTAATTCTCAAGTCCACTACGTGGTATTTCGTCTTTTTTTACTTTCTCGTATATACGAAGTATAGAGAAAGTCTTGTAATCGTGCAAAAAAAAAAAATCTAGATTTTTACAAATCTCGACGTTTTACACCTCACTGATACGGAAAAACATAATTTTGCAATCTTGTCCGTATGTCTGTGTGTCTGTCTGTGTGTCTGTCTGTCTGTCCGTGTGTAAACACGATAACTTGAGTACCGTTACAGCTAGGTTGATGAAATTTCATATATAAGTATTTTATCAAAAACGTAGATCCGTATCAACTTTTGAGCGATTTCCGATAACCGGAAGTGGTACTTTTCCTACTTTGAATTTTTCAAAAGCCTATAACGTGAGTACTATTTCAGATAGATAAATGAAATTTCACATGTGAGTAAAAGATCTAATTCTCTACCTTCTGTTAAATTTTGAGTAATTTCCGTTGACAGGAAGTAGTACTTTACGCTACTTCCGATTTCTCAAAAAACTAATGAAAATTTTAAAAGTACTAATAATATTGCGCACTATTATGCGCTTTTTTATTTGGCGTTCACTTGGTGTGCAATTAATTTGTCTACGAGATTTTATTCTATTTTTAAAACTTTAAGTATTTAAAATGGATTAAAAATCATGTCTATAGCCCGAGTTCCCATCCCCTGTTATTTTAAATAATAATATTCGAGAAAGTTTAGGGGAGATCACTCCCGGTTTATTGGTGTATCGAATAGGGTAAAAATTTAGCAAACATTTAGTAAACGTGAGGTAAACATGCAATAAACATGTGGTAAAATTCATTTAAACTGATGCCATAGGGGCTGTGGTGGTTTGACATTTGGGATTAGAGGTGTCTTGCTGTTGTGTGCTGGTGTTAGCTGCTCCGTTGCTAAGTTTGAAGCTAGCGGTGACAAGCAATGGAGCGCTTGCATTCCCTGTTGTTGCTTGCGTTGTTGATTGTTCTATTGGGTCTTCTTGTAGTGGAGTGTCTGAAGGCGTTTGTTGGCAATGCTTTGTCCACTGTAGGATGGAGGAACAGATTTGACACGCTTGTCTTCTACCGGCGATTGCGATGAGGATAGTGAGTGATTTGTTTTTTATAGTTTATTTTGATGTAGTGTGGGATAGTTGTTGGATTATCGGTGTGTGGGATAGTATTTATGGATGGATCTTTGTTACTATACGGACATAGTGCTTGTATGAGTGGAGCATTATTAAGTGTAGGTGGTACCCATCTGAGGGTCCCATTGATTTTGTCGTTTTCTTGAAGTGAGAATTGCAATGTATATGGACCGTGTGTTTTGCATGTGTTGTGCCTTGTGTTGACGTCGACGGCTTGTAATTTAGTAGAATAATTTGATGATTGCTAATAAGCTGTCTTATTATAAGGCAACGCAGGTTTGGTTGGCCTCTTGAAGTGATGTGTACTTGCACAGTAGGTGTTTCAGCTGGATAAAGGTCTGCACATTCTTCCTGTGGTAGATCAAGGATTACTTATGTTGACTTGGCTGCAAAGGGTGGGGCCCATGATTTCCTTATGCCACCCGGACATTAGCCCGGGTGGATCCTCTCCAAGTCTCTCGACTTAAAGGGAACAGGAATGGGCGCAACCCCATTGTTGACTTTCGTGATAGTTGCATAGTCCATTTCTAGTGTATAGAGATGAGGACTCTGTGCATTTAAATTTTGCTCTACGTCTCGTCAAGACCAACTATAAATGATCACTAAAAGTATTTTCATTCAACCAAACGAAAGAAACACTTATGTATTTTATGACACAATGTTATTGCATAATCAAACATTTAAAAAAATGTTTTTTATATATAAAATGCATTAAAAGTATACAAAGATTAAAATGAGTATAATACATTTTAAAAAAATTGTATCATAGTACTAGGTTCAAATGTCACAAGCCAATAACTAAAGGAAGAAAGCCGAAACAACATCAGTGAACCGATCACGTTTTCCCGCAACCTTTACACTTGTTGAAGCACTAAAATGACACCATCCATTTCGAGATGGGAAGTTTGTGCATGGGTAATAAGTTCTTAGTTTATTATTGAAGTCTGTCTAAGGCAGAAAATATTTAATTTGGCCATCATTTAACATCAAGTGATCAGATAATACGAAATGCAGTAGATTTGTAAATAGACAGTGCAAAATTTTAATGCGCAAAGCAGTCGACGCATTTAGGTATGAATGTAAAACATTTTTATTTTAATACTAGACTACCCGTTATCTAGTTAGATAACTGTGGGTTTCGGGGGTCATACATAAATGTCACTAATCATCACAAAATAACCAGACCCCACATTCAAAAAGGCGTCACATCTTAGACGTTTTAGTCTTTTAAAAACACTGACTTCGTCTGAGCATGGTTCAGACAACATAATCGTTTGATATTCTGAGGTCACAAAAACACGTTAACTCTACTTCACCTGCCCAGTGTCCTCCCAACTCAGACATGTTTTTGTCTGTAAAAACACAGATTTTGGCTGAGCGTGGTTCTGACCACACTCTCTTCATATGCTGTCGTCACAGGTGAACTTTACACCTACCCAACACTACTTCGCCTTCCCAGTGTACCGCCAAGTCTCAGACAACATGTTCTATCTTTAAAAAAAATGATTCCGGCCAAGCATGGCTCTGAAGACACTATCCACATTATATACTGAGGACAAAGAAACGGGTGAACTCTACTTCACCTGTCCTGTATCCCGCTAAGTTCCAATCGGCAAAGGCAACATTATCATTCATAACTAAAAAAAAAAATTAAAATAAAAAAAAATCACTGGCATGTCTAGAACCCATGTCAACCGCGTGGTTACCTATATGCTAACCTCTTAGCTATCTAGGCTCGTGTTCTTGAGAAGTTAATAACTTATATATTTACTTCTAAGCGGCGTAACGATCTACGCGAATCAGCCCTAGAATTAGATCTAGAATTATTTCAAATTAAATGTGTTGTATAACAAAATTAAAAGAAGTGTTAAAATATTGATAATAGTATTAAAACGTAATAAAAATAGCAAACGGAAGTATTGTTAAAGTTATAGCCGACAGAAAATTATTTTAAGAACGCGTTAAACATCTGAATCGGCAACTAAATCTTGGATTGAAGTCGCCATTTATTGTACTAAAAAGTAAACACTTCATGTGACGTCACTATTCCCACAAAGTTAAGTCAATGTTTTAAAATTTTAAAATTAATGTGGCTAATCTACCTATGAATAAATCAATAAATTAATTAACGTCTTTAAATAAATTTGTGATTAACAGTCTGTCTAAAAACAAAAATTGTTCTCTACCTACATACTATTTTACAGCTCTACACCTAGCGCCGATTCTCTCCAATATTCAATCAGACAAACAAACAAATAAATATTCAAACTTGAGTTTTAGTAGTATATAAGATAGATATATAGACCAAAAGAAATGGTTGTCTTTTTATTTTCTTCAAACTGTGAAATGCACTTTCTACCTCGAAATTTAATCCAATTGTGTGTCAAAACCATGCTCCTTCACAAAAAATCCAAAAATCTAATAATCCGATAAAATTTTTCATTTTTGACTTTTTTCTGTGACTTTTTTACTTTCTCGAATATACAAAGTATAGAGAAAGTCTTGTAATACAGCTCCCTGAGTCGGAAAAACATGATTTGCAATTTTG